ACTAAGGGAGGAAAACCAAACCAAACCGAGGCACCCTTCACCAGGGTCTGTGCAGACCCCCACGGGCAGATGTGACAGCAGAAGCAGAACTGAGGCCTGGGGAAAAGCAGAAGTGGTTAAAGACACATATCAACGGGATGGGGTGCCACAGGGGAATGGAAAAGTGAGAGCTAGGAAGATGATAGAAGATGAAGGAGACAGAAATCGGGTGGGAGAAAAGACAATGGAGGAGAGAGGAGAAAAGACCAGTGGCTGGGGTTAGAGGGAAGGGGCTATAGCCTTCCCCATCGGAGCACAGGGGGAAGGGAAGAGCAGCTGGTGATGAGAATAAGGGCCCAGGGTTACCATGTGCCAGCTGGTGCAGGTGGGCGAATCTGTCCCCTCCCCCACCAGGCAGTGTTCTGAAGTTAGAGATGGGGGAGGGGGAGTGGAGGGGAGATGGGGGAGGGGGAGTGGAGGGGAGATGGGGGAGGGGGAGTGGAGGGGAGATGGGGGAGGGGAAGTGGAGGGAAGAAGGGGAGGGGTATTCGAGGAGGAGGGAGGAGGGGGAATGGAAGGGAGATGGGGGAAGGGGAGAACACACCCCTCCAGGTGCAGGGGGTACCACTTTTTTGGTTCCCTTTTTATGGGTGCCTTATATAATAGCATGACTTATTGTTACTTATTCACACATGCGTACAGCCTAACCATATAATTTGGTCAGTTTCATTTCCCAGGGGGACTGAACATAGCCCAAGAGCACCGTTGGAGGTTGTTCCTTTTGTTCTTGGACAAGAAGTGAGGATGAGTGGTAGAACCTTTCTAAGGCTACTTTGATGGCCTCACTCGCAGTTGTGTAGAATGAATCTCACCAAGGCCATTTGAAGTCCAGATCCCTCAGTGGAGAAGTCTGGAAAACTTCACCCCACTCCCCATACCCAGCCCTCTTTCATACAGGACACATCAGGTAAAGCCTGACCCAGCAGAATAGAGCCTATCACATCAAGAGACTATGAATCTTCTCATTAAGCAGTTCCCAGCCCAGGACTTTAGCCACTCACATGGGTGGGCACTTGGTCACTGTGGAAGATGAATAACAACTCCTTGATCTGAGGGGTCCTGTCTAATTTATGTGTGCCCCTACCTGGTCCCATCACCAGGGCCCAATCCAAACCATTCATTTGTGAAAAGCAAAGATATGAAACTAACTCTGTGCCAACTGTTGGGACAAGATAGTTCCAAGGGGCATAACTGGTGCATCCAGGACCTTAGGACCTGGGAGGGACAACTGAATATTTTAACCTGAGAAGGATGTTGTGGTGGCCAGGAGCAGAGCAGGGCAGAGAGTGGAAGAAAGAACCACAATCCATGAAGAGGATTAAACCATGAAGCTAAAGGTCAGAACAGTAGGGATGCTTAGAGACATCTTGTGCTTTGCAGTTCAAAAAGTGACCCACAGACAGCAGTATCTCCTGGATTCTTGTAAGAACGCAGAATCTCAAGCTCCGTCCCAGACCTGCTGATGCAGATTTTGCATTTTAACAAGATCCTTAGGTGATTTTTTTTTTAAAGTTTGAGAAGCATCCATCTAATCCAAGGTTTTAAAATGACACGAATGTTCTCCAGGGGAGCCAGCAGAGGGCAGTGCTGCGGAGCTTGTCAGAACAAGCAGAGGAACAGCGTGAAGCAGTTTGTCCTAAGCCTTCAGTGAGGCAGTTCATGGTTAAGAATTGGGGGCAGATGCTGGAGTATTATCCTCTTTGCATAAGGACAAGTGGCTCGAGTTCACTAAGAGTGAACCTGCTCACCCACTTAGGTTTTCTTGTTTTTGTTTGTAGTGCTTAGGATAGAGCCCAAGACCTCACATTTGCCAGGCATGTACTGTACCACTGAGTGACCCCTGTACTCTAACCCACTACGTTTTGATATATGGAAACATCTGAGGAACTGGGAACGCAGACAATCAGGCTTGATCCTTGCATCAAAACTTCTAAAGAAGGGAGTGGTCTTGGCCTAAAGCACTGGTGTCCTTTAGACTTTGAGGCAAATCCAGGCTTGTGGGCGTGCAACCCGTGCAGCCACACACAGCCACATGCTCAGAGGGGTACTGTGCTTGAGCAGGTGCTCTGCTGACACCATCTGGAGATTCTAAATATTTGTGCCTTTCAACTGTGTTTTTAAGTGAAATCCATTGAGAGGAGATATATGAAATATGCATGTCCCCAACTGTTGTCCCACTCATAGTATAGCATTCATGTTTTTCCCTGAGCACAGCGTCCTAGTGGACCTGCAATAGTGGGACGTCAACGAAACTCAAAGAGAGTTCGAAATAAAAGTCACCAGCTTCCCTTGATTGTCGGGGGAATGTGTCTGCCATCAAGAAGTAAACTAAAAGCTGGGTGTGTTAATCCAAGTGACTTGGGAGGCTATGACAGGAGAATCTCAAGTTCAAAGCCAGACTCATCGACTTAGTGAAGACTTAAACAACTCAGCAAGACCCTGTCTCAAAATAAAACAAAAAGGGCTGGGGATGTGACTCAGTGGTTGTCAAGAGCCATCTGGGGACTATGCATGAGGATCTTTCAGTATTGGAGCCATTGGTGGAGGGTAGATCTGGCATTTAGGAACTTATAGCAGCAATCCTGTTATTAAGATCGCCCTGAACTTAATAGCTCTGCTCAAAAAGATCCCTCAAGCTTCAGAGATGGGGTGACCTGCTGTAGCCTCTCAGAGATGGATGTAGCCTGCCAAGAAGCCAATCAACCAATCAACCTGTTGACTGCAAGACATCATGAAGCAAGACTCCACTCCTGGAACCTTACCCCTACCTTGGATGTCCCCCCTGACATAAACCACAAGAGCCATTTTTTAGTTGTTCAGCTCCAGTTCCTGTGTGGGCTGGACCTATCAGGCGCTCTGCATTTAAAACTATTTCTGACTTTGTCTTTTATTTCTTCACTAATTATTTCAGATTTTACTTTCTCAGGTGGCTTATGCCCGCCTGAACAGGAAAAATTACACTGCTGAGGTGCTGGATACCTCGCAACAAGTGGTTAAGTGTCCCTGTGTTCAATCCCTGGTACAAAACAAAAAGTAGAAAACTGCAGTTAAGTTAGGGTTTGTTTGCTTGTTTATTTTGCCATAATAAGAATTGAGCCCAGGGGTGCTCTACTACTAAGCTACCTCCCTATTCCGCCCCCCTGCTTTTGGAAACAGGATCTCCGTAAGTTGCCTAGGTTGGCCTTGAACTTGTGCTACTCTTGCCGAGTTGCTGGGATTCATAGGCCACCATGTCCAGCCTTAAATTAGATTTTTGCAGCATTTGCTCTCCTCTGGTAAGAACAAGATACAAATGCCTGCACATGTTCAAAATATGAATTGAGTAATTTTAATGATTCCACATTAAAATTAAATGTTCTTGTATTTGTATTAAGACATATCACATATCATAGACAATTCATGATGATTTAAAATTTTGATTTTCATTTCACTTTGACCAACATTAAATAACAAATAAAAATATCATCTCAAGCAGAAAGAGAAACTGTGGAAGAAAGGAAAATATTCATGTTTTAGTAACTTTTAATTTTTATTTATTTTTTCAGTATTGGGATTGAACTGAGGGGTGCTTTACCACTGAGCCAGATCCCTATCCCTTTATATTTTGTATTTTGAGACAGAGTTTCACTGAGTTGATCGGGGTTGATCTCAAACTTGCAATCCTCCTGCCTCAGCCTCTGTAGTCACTGGGATTAGAAGCATGCATCATCACACCTGCCGAAAGTGCTTTTATTCAATTCCTCTGTGTGTATGCATGAACACATATATGTGCACATGTGTCTACATGTTTTCCCAAGAAAACCTCCTCTTCCACTGACAAAAACGAGGGGAAAACAGTGGGTGCTATTTCCAGAAAGAAGCCTAAGAAAGTCCAGTTGGAGAACACATGCAGGCTGATGTGAGCTGAGATTGGGAGTGGGCCATAAGGGGGCTGAGAGAAAAGCTGTGTTTTAGGAAGCCAGGCCCAGACTTTCTTATCTTGCAAATGCAATGCAGACCAAGTAGTCGCTTTCCAAGCAATGGCTCACACCCAGGCTCCTTGCATTATAGGACTCCATTTCCCAGGCTCCCTCACTTCCTGTCACATCAATTCTTCTCACTTGCTAGTGGCCAAAACCAGTCATGTGACCCCAGCTAGCTGCAAAGGGAGCCAGAAGAAGGAGATTTTCTGCTGACCTCAAGGGGAAATGAAAGGGTTTGGTGAACACCACAGAAGAGATGGGGTGTGGAGGGGAGGGCATCTTTGCAGCCAGTAAAAGGAGAGAGAGGGGAGGCCAGTCTGGTATAAGAAGTGGTGGGCAGTTCCCTGAAGGGAAAGGACATCCTTGGCTGACCTCCCAGCTCCAGGTCCCTGAGTAGTCTTAGAGGAGAATATAAAGCAAAAAATACTTAAGAGATATGCAGTAGTGGACCTGGAGAGTCCTTCCTGCTTATAATGGAAGACCTTGATTAAAAAGAGTGTGTGGATTTGATGCTTTCAACAGGGCAAAGTGGTGCACACCTGGAATCCCAGTGACTTGGGAAGCCGACGCAGGAGAATTGCAAGTTTGAGGACAGCCTGGGAAAGTTAGTGAAACCCTGTCTCAAAATTTAAGAAGTAAATAAATAAAAGAGGCTGGGGGCAGAGCTGAGTGGTAGAATGCCCTCGGGTTCAATGCCCAGTACACAAAGATGGTTTCATTAGATCCTGTGATACAACTAAGATTTGAAACGTTGTTCCCACAGCTACAATGGTGACAAAAGAAGGGAAGAAGTCAGGTCACTCTCCATGAGCAGGCTGGAGACAGGGAACCCCAAGAATCTTGGCATGGATGTTGGAATAAAGATCAGAAGTAGTAAAATTTAACTCTCAACTGTGCTGACACATAGACATCTGTGTGTCACTCTTCTTTTGTGTCACTCTTTCCAGTCTGCCCAGGCTGGTGGAACCAGCACTGTTAGATTTGGAACAACTTCAGGAATTTAAATGGTCACACCGAATGTTTATTTAAACCGTAAGAAAACGTTCGTAGGGTTGAGGATGTAGTTCTGTGGTAGAGCACTTGCCTACCATATGCAAGGCCCTGGGTTCAATCACCAGCACCACAAAAATATATATATAAATAAGTAAAAACAACAAAATAAAAACATCACAGTATGATCATGTTGTTTTGGTGGAAAGAATGAATATATATGTATCCATGGATGTGTGTTGAAAAACAATGATGAAATATAACATAAAATATTTACCACAGATTTTTTTAAAAAAAATCATTGAGAATCTTCAAAGATGCTTCAACAAAAACACTTTGTCCCATCCTATGTAACAGAGCTCCTGTCCTGGTTAAGAGCATGGTTGCTGATGAAGGAAAGATCCAGTGGCCTTGAAGTTTCACTCTTGAATTATTAGAAGAGTTCATAATGAGTAAGTAGGAAGCCGGCAGCAGTGGGTACCATGACCATCCACCAACTTACGATCCAAGTTACTTCAGAGGATCTGGCTGAAAGAGCAAAAAAACCCCCAAACATTAAGGTGTCTTGGTTATTGCGTTGAGAAGGGGCAGGAGCACTGGGATATTGGCATGGAAAGTAGTAAATTAAAGAAAAAAGTTTCCGCCCTAAATCTAATCTCAGTGTGCCTGGGGCATCCTCTTCCTCTCAAGAGTTCAATCCCTCCAGATGTAAAGTGTAAAGCACACAGAAATCCTTTAAATATCACTAACTTAGCTGAATCCTGTGCTTGAAGTTTCCCTTGGCATAATGGGGCTGGAAAAGGCTGAGCCCATATACTTGACAGCAAAGAGATTGGACAGAATTTCAGGCCTAGACAGGTGAGGCTGTAATGCTAGGCACAGCTGACTTCGGGGAAGGCTTTGTTCCTCCACCCCAATAACCATCTGTGCAAAAAGATGGAAGGAAAAAGGAAAGGGAGGGTTAGGGTCGTGGTTCAGCGGTAAGGCGCTTGCCTAGCACATGTGAGGAACTGGGTTTGATCATCAGCACCACCTAAAAATGAAAATAATAAAGACATTGGGTCCATCTACAACTAAAAATATTTTTAAAAAAGGAAAGGAAAAAAGATTTAAAAAGAAGGGAAAGAAAGGAAGGAGAAATCATAAGAAAGAGCAGATGAATAGAAAAATAGGAAAATGAGGTTAGGAGTACTTTCTAGGGTAATTTGGATGGCTAAAAAGGGACAAAACTGATTTAGCCCTCCCCCCCGCAATGGGCACATGATTGCTGTTATCCTCTCTGCAAACGAGCAGCCACCCCACTCTATAAAGGACAGGACTGGGCCTCTTTCTTTTTTGGATCTCCACAGGTGGTATTGATATGAAAGTGATGTTGGGATTGCCCAGCCAAATTGTGATCTCATGGTCAGACAGCGACCTGTCACACTGGGTCTGGGGTGGCAGAAGAGCAGGGCATATTAGGACATGTTAAAAAGATGTCCAGTTAGCTGGAAAGAAGAAAGAAGAGCGGTCAGGTCCCCTAGCCCACCTGTAAGAACAGAGTAATCAGTGGAGGGGAAGACTGAGCCCAGGAAGATCACAAAAGCATAGGAACCAGGATCCCTGTGAATGAATGGATTATCATTCCTATCTTTAGGAAGGACATAACTTGTCTAGGGATGTAGCTCAGTTGGTAGAGTGTTCGCCTAGCTTGCACAAGGCCCTGGGTTCAATCCCCAGCACCACCACCACCAAAAAAAAAAAAAAAAAAAAAAAGGCATAACTTGGAGAAGCTAAGTAATTCGTTAATAGCTGAGGATCACAGGTGAACATCAGCACCACAGGTATGAGTTATTCTGGAAGAATATGTATACAAGGGCTCAGGGATATCACTTTAGAGGCATGGAGGGTAGGGGACCCAGAGTGCTGGAGATTGTGATCTTATTAAGTTGTCTCCAGAATTGACGGGAATGAACCTCATTCAGCCAGTTTTCATTGAGGACTCATCAATCATGATGTGAGGTGGGTTATATGCGTTGTCTTATTCCTTATCACATCATGAGGCGAGAACAATGATTTTATCTTCAAGAAAGGCACGACTTGGGGGAAGCTAAGTAATTTGTTTATAGCTAGTAAATGGTAGTGTCAGGATTGACCTCAAGCCTGACCGACTCTAAAACCTACCAGCTCAGCTGTCCCTGGATAACACCTGGGGAGGCCTGAGCTACAGCCAGGAGTGATACTCCAGAGTGGGTCCTCTCCAGAGACACAGAGGAATCCGAAACATAAAACTCAGAGTTTGCATTTCTATCTTCATCAAGGAGCCTAAACCAGGCAGAGTCTCCACCTAAGGGTGAGGCTCTCAGTCCTGTTGGAGAGCCCCTCTCCTGCTCACCTCCCTTTCCTTCTTTTCTTGAAGCTTTAGGCTCTTGCTCGACAATGCCTGGACAGCTTTCCATCTGTCTTCCCTGCTCACCCTTTATGTTTCAGACTGTCCTACAGTTAGCCGGGCTTCAGTCCTACAATTAGTGGAGAAGGGTGGCGAGCATCAGAGATCTTATGCTAAATACCCTTGGCATCCAAGGATGTTGAGCTTCACAAAAGTGAGGTGAACGAACTGAGAGGTGGAGGCAGAGTCTGGAGTAGAACCCAAGTCTCCCAGACACCTCCGGGGTTCTCTACCACATTCTGTGCCGGAGGGCTCAGTAGATCCCCCACCTTCCCCCATGAAAAAGACAACCGGTCACCCTGTGCCCATCTCAGCTCCTGGGGACATCATTTCTTACCTAAAGTACAGGGCGGAATGAAGTAGACCGTATCGTTCTTGCTGCTTACAGGATTGCTGGCTTTGCAGGTGTAAAACCTGGACTGGTTTTGTGGATTAACAGAGACTTCAAGCACCTTTTTCTGGAACTCATTTGGAAAGGGCCCCGAGTCCCCATACCAAACATAGCTGGCTGACTCGTCCTGTATCACACATGACAAGTTCAGGTAACAATTGCCGTTTACTTCTTCTGCCTTCTCAATTTCTATGACAGGCCCAGGAACAGGGTCTGAAAATGAGGAGGATATTATGGGACCATGAATTGAGTTTTTTTTTTTTATTTTTTTACAGCAACGGTTTAGCCAACCATACAAAGTACAAGGGGAACCCGGGAAGGCTGGTGAGGGCCACAGGAGAAAAGCAGTGGAGAAGAGGGTCCTACAGAGGGAGCCAGTGAGCAACTTGGACCTCTGGAGGCTTCAGGGGCTACAACCTCTTGAGTTCTTCTGGCTCCAGGAGGGGGAGCCAGAGTCCATTACATGCAGTCAGGACCAAGTGGGGTGATGTCCAAGACAAAATACCCAGAGAGATCAGCTGGGGTGAGACCTGGGATCCCAACTGTCCCAGATGTTCAGCCTGGTACCCCCATTTTTTTTGTGTGAGACTGGATATTGAACGCAGGGTCTCTCTACCACTGAGCTACATACCCTCACCTCTTGTTATTTATTTATTTATTTATTTTTAAAATTTTGGGCTAGGGTCTCTTTAAGTTGCTGAGGTTGGCCTTGAACTTGTGATCCTCCTGCCTCAGCCTCCCAAGTTGCTGGAATTACAGAGGGGTGCCACCATGCACTTTGGGCCCAATCTGTCCTTCCAAAATTCTCCAGTTCAGACTTTGGGAGAGTCCTGAGGTAAGGGATACCAACCAGCATGTGACTTTACACAACCACCCAGGGGAAATTCCATCAGTGTGGCCTCTAGCAGAGCTACAGAGAACTTTCTGTAACCCCCAGCATGTGTCAGTGGTGTTTGGTCTATAAACTCTTATCTCAGCGTCGAGTATAGTGTTTGCCACATAGCAGGGTTGGATAGGTGGATGGATGAAGAGATAGATGGATGGATGGATGAAGCAGTTATGAGACAAAAAACAAAACACTAGCTTTGAAGTAAGGCCAGCCTGGGTCCTGGACGTGACTCTGGTGGAGCGACACTGAGTAATGGAGTTAACTCCCTTGAGGTCATCTGTAAAATGACTCAACCTCATCTCACCAGTGTCAGTCACAACACGTGCTATGGTCCATGGAGAAGTGCTTTTCACAGCGTGTGAGAATTGCACACATGCTAAAGGTCCTATTAGTCTCACTCTGCTGTCTTGCTGCCAGATGTGGTGAGAGGTAATCCCTGCATCTGGTCCTGCAGAATCAGTGCAGGTCAGACCCCATAGCATTAAAATGTGGCAGAGAATTTACCCCACCAGAGCTTGTCTCTGGGTTGTATGTGTGAGGACAATATAGAAACTACCAATTTTGGCCCCCTGCGCTCAAATTTCAGCTCCTCCACAGAGCCCTCTTGGGTTGCAGGACTTCCCCTTACAGGCTACACTGAGCAATCTGTATACCGCGTTTACACCATTTCCTGTGTTCTAGCCTCCCCACTCAGACTCCTTCCTCATTTCCTCCCACAAACAGCACAGCCCTGGGCAGCCAGGGTGGTCTGGATCCAGCCCCCTGTGAGTGATCATGGATGCCTGGGCTGAACGGAAAGATGATTCTTTATGCTAATCACACCCTGGGGAATCTCACCTTCAGACAGAGTGTGCTGGAGCTAAACCATTTGTGATTTCGTAGGAACTCTGAAAATTTGCAGTTTCTTCAAAAATTTTTGAAAAACTTTAGTCACTTGGAATCAGCTGAGTGTGGGAAGGAGGGGGGATGTTTACATCACAAAAAATTACAGAGTTTGGTAAATGGTGCATACAGGGGCCTTTAATTTTTGTTTATTCTGTGTCCTTGGCTGGTTTACTCAAAACACCACGGTAAGAGACTTTCCCCTCCCAAGGACCTCCTGAATTTTCAAGCCATATGAGATGGAGGAAGTGAATGAGAGGGGAATGTGGCCTCTTAGACCAGGGGGAACCACTGGGCTGGTGGGACGTGAATATATACAACACTCCTCATCTGCACTATGTCAGCAGTAAAAAGTTTTTTTTTAAAAATTTCTCATTATCCATTTTGATCCTTATAACACTCTAAAAGGATAATATAACTGTCATCATAATACGATGAGGAGCCAAGGCTCTGTATGAATATCCCCTTGGATATGGGTGAGGCCCCTCTTCTGCAATAATTGCCCACTCCACGCCATGGACGCCCCCTGAGAACCACATTTCTACATCAGATACACAGACACATAGATCAAAAACACAGACCCAAATCAAGCTGGATAAATCAGCTTTTCTCTCATTAAATTTACTGAGAATTTAAACCCAGGGTTAAAAAAAAAAGTCTGAACTTTGATAAGTCAGGTTAATGGCAGGAGTCCATAGGCACAGCCATAGACTCCTGAACTTGGGGAATCTGGGCTGACACTGTTCTCAATCTTCCTCCTCTTCTGTCCTACTTGACTCAGTTACACTGCTTGAATTACTTTAAATAGATCTGGTTTCTTAAAATAACTTCTCCTTTCTTAAGGGACAGAGAATTGGTTTCTGTAACTTACCATGAAAAGGATTTTACCTAATATGGGCACAGAGATATTAAGATAATTTTCCAAAGTCACACAGCTAGTAACTGACCCAAGATTATTTTTGTTTTGATGGACACATAAGTATATATATTTATGGGGGTACAGTATGATAATTTGATACCTGTGTGAAACATGTAATGATCAAAGCAGATAATTAGCATCCATATTCTCAAATACTGGTTATTTCTATATGTTTGGGAAACTCTGAACTCTAGTTATTTTGAAATATTTCATAAGATGTTGTAGACTCTAGTTACCCTACTTAGCTGTATGACGCTAGGACTCATTCCTCTTATTTAACAATATTTTGGCATTTATTATCAACCTCTCTCTATCTCTTCTCTCCCTGCCCTTTCTAACTTCTAAGGACCACTTTTCCACTCTTTCTTTTTTTTTTCTTTTTTCTTTCTCTGTGTGTATGTGTGTGTGTGTGTGTGTGTGTGTGTGTGTGCGCGCGCGCGCGTGCGCTGCAGATCGAACCCAGGGCATCACACATGCTAGGCTAGCGCTCCACCACTGAGCTAAATCCCCAGCCCTCTATCATCTGCTTCTATGAGATCAACACCCCCTGCCCTCCAGTGCTGGAGACCAAACCCAAGGGCGCTTTACGTCCAAGGTCACATTCCTAGCCCTTTTTATTTTTTGTTTTGAGAAAGAGTCTCACTGTGTTGCCCAGCCTGGCCTTGAATTTGTGATCCTACTGCCTCAGGGTCCCAAGTTGCTGGGATTACAGGCACGCACCACCATTCCAAGATGAGTGAGAGCATGTGGTATTTCTCTTTCTGTGCCTGGCTTATTTCACTTAACCAGAGTTTGAATCCAGATCTGTCTCAGTTCTTATTGTCCATACACTGGTTAGCTTGGAGCTGTAAGTGGAAGTTTTTGTTATACTCATTCTGATAGGTAAGAGACTCTCCATAATATTCCTGTTCTGTCCTTCAGCTCTTGTATCTTTTTACATGAGTCTGAAGAAGTCCAAGTTCAGAGATAAAAATTAAGATGAGTTCAGAACAGATTTGGGTGGATTACAGGAAAAGGTGAAGGAAATAGGAAATAATCTACTGTTTTCTTTCTCTTAGGTTCATTTCACATTTTTTTAAAATTTTGGGGTACTAGGGATTGAACCCAGAAGCACTTTACCACTGACTCTGTCCCCAGTCCTTTTTATTTTTTTAATTTTGAGACAAGATCAAAGTGGCTCAGCATCTCACTAAACTGCTGAGGCTGGCTTTGAACTTGTGATCCCCTCCTGTCTCAGTCTCCTGAGTCACTGGGATTATAGGTGTGTGCCACCATGCCAGGCTCAGATGAGGTTTTAAATGTCCTGTGGCCACCAATTTTAGGGCTTGCTGGCTCAGGCTTACCCCCAAGTAGAACTGGCTTTGGGAGGACATGAATTCAGCCTTCCCCGAGGTTTTTTCTTCTCTTTGTTCCACTGGAAAGCATCACCACGACTCTCAGGAAGTCTCCCCGTGGTTTACGCGGAGGCCCTGGAGTAGGAACTCGCCCCGGTTCCCACAACTCACCAAGTACCTGCAGGGGTATCTTCCATTCCTGCTCTTTGCCATCGTCTTTCGACACTCTTAAAATGTAGGTACTGCTATCCTCTTTCTGTACTTGATGGATGTGCAGATGCGCGGGACTTTGAGGATCCAGGCGGATTCTGGACTTCAGTGGAGACTTGTAGTAGGTAGGAGAGGACGACACATACCATTCTACAATCTTTTGTTGGGGGTTGTAAAACCAAATTAGTTGCTTGTAGTTACCCAGTAAATCTTCGGAGATTTGCAGACTCACATTGCTGCCAGAGACCACCGTCTTTCCATGCATTGAAGGATCTGCCAATGAAAACCAGAGACCCACCTTGGAGGAAGCAGTACCCCCCAGTGGCCCAGGCTTTCACTTGGGCTGGTGGACCAGGGAAGAAGGAAGGAATTTCTGCTTGGGGATAATGAGTATGATTTTTGTCAAAGGTACTCAACCCAGAATCAGGAATCCAGTGGCAGTTGCGGCTTGAGATGCTGAGTTGGCCTTGGGTCTCTCCCTTCCTTTCATACCAGTAAATTTTCAAATAAATTGACGAAAATCACATCCCTTCTTTGGGTTTGGGTTTCATGTCAGTTCAATCTAGTTCAATAAGCATTATGTTCGTCTCTAGAGGTGTAGACATAAGCAATACATGTTTCTATCCTGAACGATTTAATACCCTTCAGGATAGACCCCAAAACCAATTATCCTGATGTGTAAATATCTTTGGATATGACAATAAAGATAAATACAAAGTGTTAGGGAATCTGCCCCTGTCCAGGGAGTAGGGGTAGAGGATGGAGGAAATCCTAGGGAAGTCTCTTTTGGAGAAGATAACCACAAGGGCGAGTCAAAGAATGTTTAAAAGGCAATATTTGTCGAGTACCATGTATTGGGCACTGTTTGAGGCATTTGGGATACATCAATGAATTAAACAGCAAAGATCCTTAAGCTAGCATTAGAACAAGCAATAAATACGATGACTAAATACATTATATAGTATATGGTAGGTGGTAGTAGTTTTTATAACAAAAGAGGAACCTAGAATAGAGTAAGGGGAGCTACAAGTATTAGTAGAGGTTGGGAGGGGAGATGTCATTTACTAGATGATGAGTAGGTCACATTTGAGCAGAGACTTAAAGAAGGAGAGAGAAAACCAGGCAGACATCTGGGGTAAGAGTAAAATAGTTAGAGGGAAGAGCTACAGCCAAGGCCCTGTGGTGGTGGTGGTGGTGGTGGTGGTGGTGGTGGTGGTGGTGGTGGTGGTGGTGATGGGGTGCCTGCCATATTTAAACAACAGCAAGGAGGTCAGAATAGAAAGTACAGAATGAGCCAGGGGAATGGGTGTTGAGACAGTCACAGGGAAAGTTGGGATTGGGGAGAGTGGATAAAGATATTTTCATTTTATTGATAATATTTTGCTCTGTTTTTTTAATTCCCTGTAAAAGTGGCTTATATATCATATGGCATTTAATTTATTTTGAGGTAAGTTATTAGGTGGTAAGAAAGTGGAGACCATTTATGCCAACTATATTTGACAACATTTGGATGGAGGCAGAATTACTGTGAAAGGGATGAAACTGAAGCTTTGGGGTCTCTTGTATGGCCCTAGAGGGGCCCTAATAGTGTATTCATGTCTTTATAAACAGAAATAATTGGACCACTCCCTGTTTCCAGTCTTTTTTCATCACATTTCTACTTGTGCTGGGTGGTGTCGTGCTTGTAGTTATTTGGAATCTGGCTAAGGGGAACTAGAACTGGGGGATGTTTTGTCTGAACTCCGTGGGGTATATTTGTGTGGTTCAGACTGTTCTGTGCAAGGTCACTGCCAGCTATGCTGATGAAGGAAGAAGTGGCACAGAGGAACATTGCTGCTGGGCCCTGCCCTGCTTCCTGTGCCAGGCCAGCTGGCAGACCATAGAAGAGAAGTAGAGGAAAGACAAAGTTTGACGTGATCAATAGCCAGAGCTATTCTGTGGCAAAGTGTTATAGAAATATGAAGTCACTTGACTAATTAAAATTATAATGCTATTTTTCTGGCTTTTGTGATTTATGACATATTTGTCCATTTTTAAAAATTTGTCGTTTGTTGGAATTTATTTATTTTTTCATTCAAACTGAATTGGTTTTTGTTCCCAAATGTATTTACAGTTTTGTTAATATTTTTTTTTCACAAGGATACTCCATATTATGTAAGTTCTACAGGAGGAAGAAAAGATGATAGCTAGAGGGTGGAAGGTGAAGGGAGGTCTGAAAAAAGAGGAATGAAAATCATGTATATGGAGTCTGGGAAAGAGCTGCAAAGCAGTCTGGGAAAGAGTTGCAAAGCAGTCTGGGAAGGAGCTGCAAAGCAGTCTGGGAAAGAGTTGCAAAAACAAATATTAAAGGTAGATAAAAGGAGGAACACTTCCTACATCATTCTGTTATCGTACACCATCACACAGACACTTACTTAGTCATCTCATTCAACAACGTATATACCTAGCTGTTCACTTCCCACATGTCTGTCATTTCCAAAAATATCTTCTTCAACCACTAAAAGATAAAAATATCTGTGTCCCAGGGCTTTTAAGATGCATTCCTCCTTCATTTCTGGATCCATTCATCCTTCCAACTATCCATCTGTCAATTCATCAGACATTCATTGGATGCCTACCCTGTTCTGGTACCTAGGCACACACAGGTAGGCATTCATTCCCACAGTGCTTCTGATTGGTCCAGTCCTCTGACAGAATTGATGCAGTCCAAGCAACAGTCATTGCACAACCACAGTGTGCCTGGCGCTGTGCTCTGATATCAGCAATGCAGATGGAGGTTCTGGCCTCTTACACCATACAGTCTAAAAAGACATTCTCTCAAGGATTTTTAAATCACTAGACATGTCTTCCAGACTCTCATTATTGCCTCCATGGACAAAATTCCCACTCCCCACCCTCATTGAGAACTGCTGGCCTAGATCATCTTTGTCAAACTCTACAAGAAGTCTCAGACATATGCTCAGGAGATGGAATGTTTCAAGGTCTGACATTGTGACAAATAGTCAGCATTCATTTCAATATGTCATGAGTGCTGAGATGCAAACATGTGTGGGATGTTGCATCTTCCGTCTCTCCGTGGCTAACAGTTCTAGAAAGGCTGACTTAGTGATTGGCTGTGACTTCTTACTGAGAAATAAGAAACTGGTAATTGGTGATTGAATTCTTCCTTTGCCTTCCTAACAATTTTGTCTTTTAGATGGTAGGTGAAGCAATCTTAAAGGAAAGAAGAAAAATAAATCCTACTATTCTGATTGAATGGAAACAGAATAAAGCAGTTGGTGATGTGTCTGGATGCTTAGGATGAAAGTTATAGTGTTGACCTGCAACTTTTGGTAGCAACAGAAGCAGCTCCTGACTGTGCCCAACCCCTGCTTCTGGTCTGTGGGGAAGTAGAATTATAAGAGGCTAAACTGTGGAACCAACCTAGACGCCCTTTAGTAGATGAATGAATAAAAAAAATGTGGCATATATAGACAATGGAATATTACTCAGCAAGAAAAGAGAATAAAATCATGGCATTTGCAGGTAAATGGATGGAGGTGGAGAAGATAATTTTAAGTGAAGTCAGCCAATCCCAAAAAATCAAATGTCAAATGTTTTCTCTGATATAAGGAGGCTGATCCATAGTGGGGTACAGAGAGGGAGCATGGGAGGAATAGAGGAACTCTAGATAGGGCAGAGGGATGGGAGGGGAAGGGAGAGAGCAGGGAGTTAGAAAGGATGGTGGAAGGTGATGGTCATCATTATCCAAAGTACATGTATGAAGACACGAATTGGTGTGAACATACTTTATATACAACCAGAGATATGAAAAATTGTGCTCTATATGTGTAATATGAATTGTAATGCATTCTGCTGTCATATATAAATTAAAAAAAATTAATAAAAGAAAGAAAGAAAGAAAAAAGAAACCTTAATCAAGGCTTAAGCAAGTTTTAATTACTCTAGAAACAAGTCTTGTGTTTCTAGTGAAACTTTAAGGAAGGAAAAATGAGGTGAATCATAAAGATATTGAGGTGGCATTACCTGGAGCTCTCTAGTGATGTCAAATATTTAAAAATTCTTTCAAACCCTTTTAGGAAGCAAGTTGGCAATGGCTATCAAGACCCTAGATTTGTGACTTGGGTGACAAAATAAACAGGCTGCTATTTCCTGAGAGAGGTGATATAATGAGTTTAATGGGTATTATTGCAATGGAATCTAAAGGTAAGGAAGGAGAAATCAGAGAAATGAGCAATTCTTTCAAGACATTTCTGTGTGAAAGGGAAGGATATTATAGGGCATTGAGTAAAGGACATTGAATGGAAGATAAGAGTAATTTTTGTTTTTTTGTTTTGCTTTGTAGGAAAGGAAATGCCTTGAGCTAAGATGGTCATGGGATAAATCCAGTGGAGGGAGAGGCCTGCAGGAAAAGGAGGGGACAGATAGGGCTGGGCTTCTCAGGGCTCAGCACAACATGGAAGACACAGATCTTGTTTGGGGAGTGGGGAGACCTTATCCTCTGAGGGAAAAGGGAGGAAAGAAGATAGTCGAGAAGTTTCCAGTTTGGAAATGGTGGACAGAAAGCTGAAGGGCTTTCTGCCTAATGATCTCTAAGCCACTTCCTCCTCCAGCAAAGAGGCAAGTTCTTTGCTGGGAGGCAGAAGACAGAGGTCAGATACTTTGAAGATGGGGGTGAAAGTTTGAAGTAGCCACTGTGGGAAATAAGAGAGAGACTTGATCAGGGCCAGCAGGACTAGTCTGAAAGCCCAGCTCAGCTGAAAGAAGGACTCCATCTCCTTCTGTCCATCCACCTCTGCAGACACAGTAGGTACATCACTTATTCACTATTCCCTTATCTATAGAGTGAGCACTCACTACAGGCCAACCTCCTGACACATATAATAGGTGGATATAGCTCTTTCCCTTAGGACCTTCCACTCCAGTGCAAAGAGGGAATGAGATGATTCCACCATTGCTGAGAAGAGTTAGGATGAGGAAAATGCAGACCTCTAAGGAGCACATAAAAGGAAACACATCACTGGAGTTTGGGGGTCAGGAATGACTTCTGTAGAAGTGAATTAACATCAACAAGATTAAACCAGGGAAAGATAAGGGCCTGCAATAGTAGGTATTCCAACCAGAGGGGGAAAGGAAAAAAAAGTCTCAAATGCTTAAAGACCACAAAAACAAGACTCATTTAAAGAGTTGACTAGGTGAGGGCAGGAGGCAGCTTTATTATGATGTGTGAGTTTTATACTCAAGAGTTTCTGCTCTCTCATGGACAAGAGCAGCCACAGAGAAATTTAAGCAGAAGAGTGAAATAAACAGTCAGTTTAGAAAACTAATACCAATGACAGTATGTAGAATAAGCTAGAAAGAATGGAGTCAAAAGAGTAGCAAGATAAGTGGTCATGTGGTATTGGTTATAAAAGAAAATGAATGGTTGGCAATTGGGGTGGATGGAATGGGACCTATTTAAGAGGTATTTTTGAAGATGGAACTAATAGAATTAATTCATTGGATGTGAGAAGCAAAGGAAAGAAAGGTATTGAGAATAACTCCTAGAATTCTGGCTTGAGCAACCAAAGGCAAGGAATGGTGGAAGAGCAGTAAGTTTGATTATAGCAGTTATTTTAAAAGTCTAAAAAAATTTTTTTTACACTCCTCCCATCAATACACAGGGTTTGCATTCTCTCCCTCTGAGCCTGGATTGGCTTTGATAACTGCATCAATGAACTGAATATAGAACTCTGACTTGCAAAACTAGATTACAAAAGACCATGCAGCCAGGTGCAGTGGAGCATGCCTTTAATCCCAGTAACCTGGGAGGCTGAGGCAGGAGGATTGCAAGTTCGAGGCCAGTCTCAGCAATTTAGTGAGACCTTGTTTCAAAATGTAAATGTAGCTCAGTGGTAAAGCTCCCCTGGATTCAATCCCCATACCACTAAAAGAAAAAGAAAAAAAAAGAATGAGAGAGAGAGAGAGAGAGAGACCATGTAGTGTTTGCCTGTTTCTCTTGGAACACACTCTAGGTGGCTTTAGCTGGGTGGGTGGTGACAGGCACCTCTTCATTCACCAGTCATGTGAATGAAGATGCCTTTGAGGTGCCCCTAAGACAACCAGGATCTTTCTGCAAATATATGAGAGGTCCTATGTGAGAAGTGCTGAGCACAGTTTGCCCATAGATTTGTGGACAAAATAAATAATTGTGATTTTCTTATTTTTATTTTTTGCAATATTGGAGATTAAACCCAAGGTGCTTTGCCAATGAGCTACACCCCCAGCCTCTTTTATTTTTTATTTTGAGACAAGGTCTCACTAAGTTATTGAGGCTGGCCTCTGGTTGCTTGAGCCAGAATTCTAGGAGTTATTCTCAATACCTTTCTTTCCCTTGCTTCTCACATCCAATAAATGAATTCTATTCAAACTATGTGTGTGTCACAATTGCAGTTTCACTTTTTTCCCCCACACTAAACTACATCTTCAGTTCTTTTATTTTGTTTTTTATTTTGAGACAGAATCTTACTACGTTGCCTAGGCTGGCCTCTAACTTATGATCCTCCTGCCTCAGCCTCTTGGTAGCTGAGGTTACACGTATGAACCACCAATCCTGGCTGCAATTTCACATTCTTTATATTATTTGATCTTGATAGCGACCTCTCAAAGAAATGGAAAGCATGCTATTATACCCATTATAGAGTTGAAGAAGCTGAGGCTGAAGCTTTATATTTTACAGAAAAATCCCATAGCATAGAACCCAGATAGAACATAGTTTTTCCAATTTCTATTATAGTGTGGTTTGTACTGCATCTTGCTAAGTGCTGTGGGAAGAGAAAAAAATGTCCTCCAGCAGTGGAGGATACCCTGAATCAGAGAGCTTGCCTTGAAATTAGAGAGCTGAGAAACTCAAGTCTGAGGAGATCTGAGAGTGCTTCTCAGAGTTTTCCATAAAATCACTCCTCACTAAAAGAAGAAAACTACTTACTTCCTCTGGAATATAGAGATGTGCAGTCTAAAAGGAAGTTCTTTTAAGTAATTCGTTCATTTATTGAACAATTATTTATTGAGCACTTGCTGTATTCAAGTCACTGTGCCAAGTTCAACAGCATTAACACAGAACATGATTCCTATCTTCATGAAGCTCAAGAAAAGAGATCCAAACAAGCAATTCACAAACCATAATCTGGAATCTAAGGTTTTCAGGAAGAAATCATATGAAAAATGGAAGCCAAAGGGGCAGGAAGAGAAGAGGGTGCAGAGAATTCTAGGTTGAACAAAAAGCTCAGAGCTAAAAGGGAAGACAACTTTTTTTAAGGCATACAGAAAGATTAAGGTCAGCCTGAGTGTGTTTAATAGGACTAAAGTCAGAGAGTCGGGATCAGATGATCATCCGTAGGCATATTCTATGCGCAAAAGGATTTAGACTCATTGGCCTTTATCAAGATTCCCTGGGCTTAATCTCAGGAAAGCCGAATCATATGGACACGGTTTAGAAGTTAGATCTGTGTGTCCTTGGAGAATTTCTTAATTTCTCTGAAATATAGCGTTCTCGTCTGGAAAATGTAGACAATGATCATCACCTACAAATTTCTTACGGAAACTAAATGGAATAACATTAAAAATGCCTACTGTAAAGCCTGACAGTAAGTATTCGATGTTAGTTTTAATTACTCTAAATTAGGGAAATGTATGATGCTAACCTAATCAAAACCAATGCTATCCGTTTGTTAGGAAGTGACAATTGCTATAACAAAAGAGAAAACTTAGAGAGGAAGCCAAATAGGCAAATGGGGTATAAGAGACTGGATCCAAGGCCCTCGGGTGTGGGGGGGATGTCTGCCATATTTAAACAACAGCAGGGAGGCCAGGGTGGGTGGCGTGGAGTCAACAAAGGGAATGGATATCAGGAGACACAGTCAGAGAGAGGCCTGGGCCTGGCAGACACAAAGGTGTGTATGTAGACCCCAAGGTAAGAGAGAGGGCACCTCTTTCAAGACAAACAGCAAAATTAAATTTAGAGATTAAGAAATTCTCCTAAAGTCGCAGATTGGGATCTAAACCTGGATGGCCAGGAAGGACCTGAAAGAGCATAATTAGAATCTTGATAAAGATTGATGTATGGAAATTCCTTTGGGAATTTAGAATTAGAAGTCGTCTGTACATTTGGACTAAAGGAGAATAAATGGCCAGGAAGAAGGTCCGACATGGAAAAGTCAGACAATGTCTAACTGTCAGGGTATGTTTAACCAAAGAGAGTTCTGAAACACTCCAGTTCTCCTGGTAGTGTGGATCCCAGCAGTTGGATTAATACTTCATAACAGTCTCCACTCCAGAGCCCATGCCAGTGTCCGATGCACTGAGTCAGCCCCAAGGGGTCCATATAATTACAAAAGGCCCTGAATATAGTATGTCCCTAGGTTTACAGAGAGAGTCACCAGAACCAGACCAGATCCAAAAGATTGCCCCCACATCCCGCCCCCACCACAGAAAGCCCTGTATGAGGGACTGACTAGATTTTCTCCAGGTATTACTAACTCTTCTTCCAAAAAGTTGCATACCTTCCTAATTTTAGGATGCTTGTTGAACTTCTCGACGCTGTTCATTGTTCTCATTTTTATGCATAATGGTGAGCACTAAAAACCTTTAAATGAAAAAAACAAAAAACCCTGAGATGCTAATGGGTGAAATAGCCAGAAAGACAGAAAGAAGCTTAACTCCTTCTTTGTGGCCCGGGAATTCCAGCACTAGAGGAAGAAAGATGATCTGGAAGTGGTCACTGGGGAAACGAAAAGCAGCCCTGACCCTGAGCACACGAGGTGGTGAGCTTCATCAGTCCTGACTTTTGTACAGCTTCCCGTGGCCTCAGGTCCTATTTTTGAATGACACCTAAGGCAAAGAGATGGAGCCTGATTCTCCAAAGCTAAGGAAGTCTCCCCAACCTTCTACGGGTACAGGAACGCCTGTTGCCCCAAAGACCAGACCCCACTTGCAGGGCTGAGCCGCGTCCCATCTCTCCTTTCCCGTCTGACCATGCTTTTGGTGCAGAGTCACAGGCAGTTGGTGGAAAGTACCTTGCATACTGGTCACCAGAAGAGACAACAGCAGTAACAGTCCTGGAGCCGGCCACCAGTTCCATCGTTGGGAGCGCATCGTACTTTCCTTGGATTTGCAGGATTGCTGGAGACAGCCAAGAGCCGGGCTAGGAAGAGACCAAAGGTAGAAAGGGAACCCGGAAAGCAAGGTTAGAGGAAAATACCCACTGAACTTTTCTCCACACCCAGTAGACTTGCGGCAGAGGAGGGGCCGAAAGAACAGGAAGTTTATGAGGTTTTTCATTTGAAAGCACCATGGCAACAGAATAAAAATTTTTAAAAATATGTATTAGTGCTTTTCTAGTGGGGAGAAGATTGAGAGCTTCTACTAGGTTCTCAGAGGGGTCAATGCTCAGAAGAAATGAAGGATGGTGATAAGTTCCCAGGAAGAAATCACTTTGATTAAATCAGGGGACGATACAAAGCAGATGCCTATCCAAGCATGATTAGGTCTCATTCGGAACAGAAAGTTAGACAATAACTGCCGCACCTGCCACCCCCAACTCTTCTGACCTTGCGATAAATTTAGTTGGACCCTTTACATTGGCCTATCCACTGAACATTAGTGGAAGATTTCTTGGCCCAAGACAATGGATTGCCTGCCTTTGTGGTCTGAGATGTTTCAAACCCATTTCTCATTCCAATTCGTTGAACCTAAATGGACATTGAGAGGACACTTTGGGGGAACACATGAGAAAAGCCACCGTCCCTGATAGAGCGTATTTGTAGTCATTTCATAACTGGGGATGTTTCTAATTCTCAAAATAGAGGTGGCCAGTACAATGGCTAGCCTCTCTCAATCTGGAAGCAATCACCTCTCAAAGAATCAGCAGAGGGGAAACCAGGTCAACTCAGTACCCGAAGCTGTGTATGAAACCTTGGATTCCTGCGAGGTGGCCAAGGCAGAGATCATCACCTGTACCTTATTGAAACTCAGGGTCAGACTTGCCCAAGGTCCTGCTTTAGCTAGATTTTCTCCCAGTACGGGAGAGAGCCAGTCTTTGGACTAGAAGAGAAGACGTGACTGAAGTGAGCAAGACTGAAGCAGAATTACGTGGTGAGATCTTAAAGCAAACCATTAAAAGGAACTGAGAAGGAGGAGGAAGAGGAGGAGGAGGAGGGTGGTGGTGGCTATATGAGGGGGGGCAGGTCAAAGGCAGAAGTCAACTGTGGGCGTGCCCTGTCCTGGTCCTGAAGCCTCTTGAGAAACAATTTCCCACCCATCTTAATAGTGTCTCCTTTGACAGAGGGAGAAAGGAGAGAGGGCAGGACTGGTGAGTAGACAAGCCCAGAGAAGGTGTTGAAAGCAATCTAGAAGCAGCCATTCATGAGAAGCCTCCCTGAGAAGGGGAGAGAGGGCACTGGAGGGTTGAGGGGAGGCCTTAGGGCACCCCTGCTTTCCTCCTCTCCTTTCCTTCTCTCCTACCCACTCACCCCAGGCCTTCCTGATGGCTTGGTCCCCAAGGCCATCCACCCCAGAGTGCCCCATGGCCCAGAGCTTATTATCCAACTCCTTGAATCCATATCCTGGGGCGTGGCTATTTAAAGGAACTGAGCTAAGAAAGGAAGGGTATGGCAAGTGATGATTTGACGTCATCTCCTTCCTTTTAAAATGTGTGTGGTTTGCAAGAGAGCGTGGGACAACACATTATAATGTGTGAAGGAGGATGCTCATGTAAGTTGTGGTCATTTACTCCATGCATTCCATATGCATCCACCCGTGCCCGTGGGGTGCTCAGTGGGTGTATTCTATAAATACAATTGCACGGCTTCATCCCATTTTATTGATTGATTGATTTTTTCCTTTCTCTTGTCTCCCTGCATTGTACTGGCTGTTTCCTCTGCCTGGAGACCTCCCTGCCCTTCTCTACCCAACCAACGGGCCATCCATCCTTTGAAAGTAGCTCAAGTTTACCCCCTTCCCCCAGAATGCCTCCCTTGCTCTCCTTGTTTCTGGCTCCCCCTGGCGTCTTGTTCTTATCACTTGAATAGAAACTGCTGGTCTTGAGGGAACAGTACAAGCTTCTAGACAGGATGAGGCCATTGTAAGAAAGGCTTCTCAATAGTTGATTAAAAAAGCTTTCTAATTTAAAAACATATGTGGATATTATAGAAAATTGATCAAGCAGGATGCAAGGGTACACTCTTGTAATAATCCCAGCAAGGGGATTGGAAATATAGAGGGGGAGACTGAGACAGGAGAATTGCAAGTTGAAGGCCAGCCTCTGCAACTTACCAAAACCCTATCTCAAAATAAAATATAAAAAGGTCTGGGGATGTAACTCAGTGGCAAAGCACCTCTAGGATCAATCCCCAATCTCTCTCTCTCTCTCTCTATATATATATATATGCATATAAATATGTAAATATTTATATAAATATATATATATATATACACATAAATATATAAATACTTATATGAATATATGTATGTACATATATAAATATATACATATGCATATATAAATAAATATGTATTTATTTATATATATATTTAATACGTTTATAAATAAATACATATGTGTAAAATATATACATATATAAAATGTATATGTATAAATATTATATGTACTTATATAAATATACACATACGTATGAAAAGTATAAAGTTAAAAGTATATTCATTCATGACCTTGTTACCCGGGACAGGAGGAGCACTGTTAATTTTCTGGTACAGAGTAACTTTTCCTAGTGTCTTACTATGGTTATTCACATTCATTTAGATAACTGGGCTCCTATGGCATATGTACTTTATATATGACTTTTTGTCACTCTGTCATGATCATTATCCCAGCTTTCTTCAAAAATAAGATATTGAATAGAAGCCTGATATTTGTTAATACAGACACACTGCACCTAAGCTGTTCTTCATTCTTGTGGGTTGTTTCTAACTTGTATTTGCATAGACACTTTTCAGAGGCTAATAACACTGAGAAAGTGGAGTGGGAAATGACAGCCGGAGGCTAGTGGGGTAATGGGAGGTGACAGTATTCAAGGCTCTTTTATTTTCACTTTATTTTTGATGTAATTTTTTTTTTAATTTAAAAAAATGATTTTTAGTTGTAGATGGACACAAAATCTTTATTTCATTTATTTTTTATGTGGTGCTGAAGATTGAACCCAGTGTCTCACATGTACTAGGCAAGCACTCTACCACTTAGCCACTACCCCAGCCCCTTGATGTAAATTTTGGTGCATTAAAATTATACGTAATATGGGATTCATTATGCACAAAACATAATCTGATCAATTGAGTCTCTGTTGGAAGGAAAGGGCAGCTGGGTACAGTGATGCATGTCTGTATAGAGGCTCAGGAGGCTGAGGCAGGAGGATCGCAAGTTCAAAGCCAGCCTCAGCACAAGCGAGGCACTAGGCAATTCAGCAAGACCCTGTCTCTAAATAAAATACAAAATAGGGCTGGGGATGTGGCTCAGTGGTGGAGTGCCCCTGAGTTCAATCCCTGATCCGCCCCACCAAAAAAACAAAAAAGAAGAAGGGAAAGGCAGTCTGAATGGAGGACAGCACCTGGGAAAGTCAGAGCAGGTCTGTGGGTGGCAGAATGCATTCAGAGGTTGAGCCCTATCTGTGTAAGCAACCTAGTGGGGACCTATGGGTGGACCCTGCAGCTGTGTCAAGGCAGGCATCAAACAACATGGAGGAGGATCTTTCAGTCTGTATCAAGGGGTGGTCTATTTGATTATGTAGACTCTATCTCCCTACCATCTTAAAAAGGAAATATAGCAGTAGGATATTATTTTGGAACAAAAAGGTGTGTCCCTTCAAGAAAATTACATCGTTGCTTTGAGTCTGCCTTTACCCCAAAGAGAAACTGGGAACATAATATCTCCCTTGCTGACTGTCATGAGAAGTAAACAGAATGCCATGTGATTCTCAAAGGTCTGCTTAGATAGGGTCCACTGGTGTCCAAATGATGTGGCCTGGTGTGAAAAGAAAAGAAAGGAAATACAAACTTAATCCAGGGAATCTTTCTCCTTCCCTCGGATGGCAGCATGCCCTGGGGTACTGCTGGTGTTGGGCATGGGAACTTGGTGACAGTAGAAACGAAAACAAGTCAGGTGGGTGAATGCACAGACAAGACTTTAATCTCGACCTCTACTTGAGAAGGGAGACACAACATTGCCCTAGGGAGTGCCAAACCAGCCTCTCTGAATGAAGGGAGCAAGTTTTATTCCTGTGAAGGAGCTTGCCGCAGTCTGGCTGGGCACAAAATAACTGAGCCACCACAAAGCCTTGTAGATTCAAACAGCAACTCTTTATTCCCGAACTCTCACCAACACTCTGCCCACACTTCCCGTGAACCCCTGCCTACACTTGGCTCCGTGCACCAATTCTCTCAGAACCCCGAGAGAACTCAACGGGAACTCCAAAGGAGCTGGCGCCTGAGCAGCAGGATACACCCTATTCCCAGCAGGATCCACCCTAAACCCGGAGCCACCCTAATCCCTGAGCAGGGTCACCTTTCAACCCAAAATGCCATGCATCATTCCTACTTGGCTATGGCTCTCAGCAGGGGCTGATTGCAAGGGGGAGCTAAGGTTTAGGAATGCGAAGTGGTTTTCGTGCCTTTGAAAGGTTTGTTTCCTTTTCCTGTGAGGACGCTGACTCTGACTCACAGTTGGTCAGTAGGTCATACAGGACCCAAATGCTAGCTTTTCACATTGACCCGCATCCTGTATAAACAGTCTCTGCCTTGTGAGACGATGACTTGCTGTAGCTGTTAAAAAAACTCAGAGCATGGCCAAGTAACAAGTGAAGTGTCTTGGGAATTTGCCACGTTTTGGTCCCTTCAAAAGCTTTATTTAATCTTTATGTTGGAAGCAGGAAAGAACTTACTATCTTTTAATGACTGTCAGGCTATGGGTTAGGCCCAGGAATGCATGTGCTCTTTGTCCCTACTGGTGGACCCTGTGTTTGTCCCCCACTGAGAGATTTCAGCACTTAAGGAGGAGCATTTTGTTTTTATTTGAGTGGTTAAAACATGGAGTGAGATCTAGGTGTGGAAGTGTGGGTCAAGACTGCAGGGTTGCAAGGTTAACAAGGAAGAGTGCAGATTTTGCAGAGCCATTTACTAGAGTGAGGTTTAGGTTTAGGTGATATACAGGGAGAAATTGTGGCTCCCTGGTTATGGTGTAGATAGGG